GCGGCCACTGCGGAGAACAAGGACACGCCATCAAGGACTGCACAAAGAAGTCTAACGAACCCAAATGTGCAACTTGCCTGCACTTCAAAAAGCCAGCTGGCCACATGACCGGTGCCACCGAATGCCCTGCAAAGACTATGGCCGAAAAAAGGTATATTAACTCAGTAAACTATGAAGGCGCCTAAGAGCGCTAACACCTAATTGTATTCTTAGTCCTACTCCTAGATTTATATCAACTATGATAAATAATATCATTAGCGATTTAGACCAATTCTCTGTGTCTGACTCTAAGGTGTGTGAAGCTGAAAACTGCAAACAATATCTTTATAGCATCGAAAGCCCACTAACTATACTAACACAAAACATCCGCAGTATTTTTAAGAATTTTGATAGCTTTTCTACACTTTTGCATCGATTAGATATAAACTGTGATATAATGGTATTAACCGAATGTTGGCTTGCTAAACAATATAATATCCCACAAATACCTGGATATAACACATATAGCAGTAATAAAAATTACAATCAAAACGACGGTGTAGTAGTTTATGCAAGGAACCACCTTAATATATCTGTAGAGGAACCAAATATGCACGACTGCAACCGACTATTACTTAAAATCGGATCAGAGATTGCAATACTAGCATTATACCGATCCCCGTCGTTTAAAAACACACAAAATTTTACTAACTCCCTGAATGACGCATTACAGAACCTCTCATCCTTCAAAAATGTAATTGTAATAGGAGACATAAATATTAACATTACGCCTCTGAGTATTGATGCATCTGCTCAGGAATACCTCAATGTATGTGCCCTGCAGGGCCTGCTCCCCACGCATAACTTTCCTACACACCAAAGAGGTTCCTGCTTAGATCACATCATGCTAAAATCGGCTTTTCCCTCGATTGCACTTGTTACTAACTCATCAATAACCGATCATAACGCTGTCCTACTAACTCTAAATTGTAGTCTACCTAAACAAAATACTCGCTTAATTAACAAACTGCAATTAGATAAATTAGAGGACGATTTACGCAACATCGACTTTGAGCCAGTATATAATTCTGCTGACCCACAATACTGCATGTCGTACGTGATTGAAAGCGTGCGTCATGCAATTCAGCAAAACACAGTACTAACAAAGTTACGTAACAAAAACTATAACATCAAACCGTGGATTACAACTGGACTAATCAGGTGCATGAAACATAGGGACAAACTGCATACTAAGGCTAAATCGAATCCAGACAATACGGATATACAAATATCCTACAAAAGATATCGAAACTTTTGCAACGACCTCCTTAAAAAGATCAAAAGTAAATTCGATAAAACTAAATTAGAAAAGGCTGGCTCAAATAGCAGACAATTATGGAAGTGCATTAAAAATATTACATACGCGTCAAAACAAAGTGACTCAGCCTCGGGTTTACTAGAGGGATATACGACACCGCGCACGGCCGCTAATGTGACTAACAACTTTTTTGCTAATGTGGGCAAAAGTCTAGCAGAAAAAATCCAGGGTCAAGGCCATCCTCAACAAAATACCCCGAAGAAGTACACACCCATAGCATCTTTTGTGATGTTCGACACTGACGAGACTGAGGTACAAAATATCATTATGACTCTGAAGGACGATAGCGCTGCTGGCTGGGATGATATCCCTAGTAAAATTATTAAGCAGTTTAGAAACATTCTAACACCTCCTTTGACTTATATTTTTCGACTGTGTTTATCTTCAGGCATATTCCCGGCATGTCTCAAAAAATCAGTCATAGTTCCAGTACATAAATCAGGCAGTAAATCCCAACTAACGAACTATAGACCTATCTCACTACTGCCTTCTATGTCTAAAATATTAGAGAAGCTAGTAAATAATAGACTGCTTAAATACCTGGAGGACAGGTCAATCCTATCAGAACACCAATATGGATTTAGACCTAAAATTTCAACAGCAGATGCAGTACACTACGTGACTAACTACATAACGCAAGAACTTGATAAGGGTAAACATACTTTGGGAGTCTTCCTAGATCTGGCCAAGGCTTTTGACACAATTTCCATTCCTGTGTTGTTGCGTAAGCTGGAGATCATAGGTATAAGAGGGATGCAGCTTAAATTTTTTCAAAGTTACCTAGAAGACCGCAGTCAGTGTGTAAGAATCGGTAAAGTACTCAGCGATGACGTTAAAAACACCCCCTACGGTGTCCCGCAGGGGAGCATATTATCGTCTACATTGTTTCTAATATACATAAATGACCTATGCAATCTTAAGCTGGAACACGGCACAATCGTGTCATACGCTGACGACACCGCTCTACTTTTTTCTGCTGACTCGAAAACTGAGGTCTACAGACTTGCGCAGCACGGATTTAATCATGTAAATAACTGGCTTCGGTGTAACTCACTAACATTAAATACAGATAAGACACACTTCATCAAATTCGCTATTCGGAAGGAAAACCCAGTTTCTACCTTAGCCTTGTATGCCCATCACTGTAACATTCCTGATCAATGTATGTGCCCTTTTATCAATCAGAGTAGTAATGTAAAATATTTAGGTGTAATATTAGATGAAACTCTTTCTTTTAAACGACATCTGAACGTTTTAAACAATAGATTGCGTAAGCTCATATTTGTGTTCAAAAAGCTACGTTACATTGCTGACCCAAAAATAATCAGACAGGTATATTTCTCCTTGTGCCAATCAATATTAACTTACTGTATTACCTCTTGGGGTGGTACGGATAAGACTCTACTGCTTTCCACTGAAAGAGCCCAAAGAGCGATTCTCAAGGTGTCTACTGGCCGATCTTTTCTTTACCCCACTAACCTTCTATATAGTTCTTGTAAAGTACTAACAGTCCGGCAGCTTTTTATTATGAGCACTGTACTAAAACAGCATGCGGCTTTTCCATACAATCCTGGGATAACCGAAAAACGGCGAAGAGATATTGTTTGCCCAACCAAAAGTACAAAGCACGCTTTTATTACCAAATTTTTTGTATTTCTTGGACCACTCCTATACAATAGACTAAATGCAACGTTATGGATTTATCCCCATAGCATCCGTAACTGTAGGAAAATTCTAAAGGAAGCCCTTCAAGACATGTCCTATGAAGACACAGAGAAGTTATTAATAGTTCCTAAATAATACTTAAAGTAAGCTCCTAATCTCTTATTTATATACTACATACATACTCTTAAATACATATTAAGCATAGAATTTAAGTATTACTTTACATCAGTATGCGTACATATAATTAAATATTGTCATAATTTACCCTAACTTATTAGCATTTAAGTACTAGTGATTATATAACATTGTTTACTACTATTACCTAACCTCGCCTGAAACACAGGATTTCCTAGTTCAGGCACCTTATATTGTGAACTTTATTTAACTTTAAGCAAAACTGTACATTTCTAGATCATTATGTTTGAAAATAAATTTTATTATTTTATTATTATTATTATTATTATTAGTTACTTGGTTAATGTCCTAGTTACTGACTTATAAGTTTAGTTACAAAATTATTACATATATACAGAGTTCTCAATAATTGGGTTTTATTTTCCATAAAATTCTTTACATATAAAAATTATGTTCAATAGCCATTTATATAGTTTAATTTTTTATAATCTTATATTTAACATTTTAAACTCAGTTGGCAAGTGATAGTACAATTTTATACACATTGCAAGGCAGTTTTTGTTATATTTCGTTAGCCGCGGGAAATCATTCATAACTACCCTGTGTACATCACCTCTATTTACTGTGTACATCAACTACCGTTGACATAACTCGCCACACACATATTTCATAAATGTAGAGAGCTGGTAAAGGTCCAACAAACCAAGTCTCTTAAAAACTGGTTTACATAAGACGTCAGGTCCACAAATTGCACGAATGTATTTCTTTTAGGCTATAAATGCTCGACTTACGTCAGTGCGATTACCCCACACTATGAGACCATATCGGAACAGTGATTCTACATGCGCGTGATAGCAGATAATCGCAGTTTTTTTGGTTGGTTGCGTTTTTCACGTATTTTAGCGCATTTACAAACTTATGAATTCTATTACTTATATTAACGACGTGTTCTTTCCAATTGGTATCTTTGTCTACTATTATACTTACACCTTAGAATTTAGTATATGATACTTCTTTAATTTTGTTTACATTTAGCTTATTTGTGCCATTACTATTATTTAATTGGTGGAACTATATACAGATTTATTCAAATTTATTCGTAAGCGATTTGCGTCAAGCCATACCTGTAATTTGCTGATTGTGTTATTAATTTCTATTTCATGATCTGTGATGGTGTAGTGTTTTTTTATCAGATGGCACTATAATAGATATCTCATCTGCAAACATTTATGCTTTTTAATGCTGATTATGTCATTGATGTAGAGTAAGAATAGTATTGGGCCAAGTACGCTTCCTTGTATAACGCCAAATTCATTATAATTTGTACTCTAAGGAGTAAGAGACTATCTTTATTCTTAAGTCCATTGACAATGACACATTGTTGTCTATCCTGTAAGTGGGAAGTTATCCATGCAAGCGTAGGACCTCTGGTTCCGTAAATATCAAGTTTTTTTAAGTAAGATATCGTGTGACACGTAAGTCGAAGGCTTTCGACAAGCCAAAAAAGAGGCCAGTAGTTTTGTGCTTATTGTTAATATTGGAGTGCACATCTTTCATAAGAGAGAAAATGGCTAAAGTGGTAGATTTATTTTTTTGAAAACCGTATTGTTCTTTGTTTATTATTTGAAATTTATTGCAGAAATCATTTAATATTTTATATAAATACAGTAGGCGCTTGCTAATCCGGCACCGGAAATTTTTCCTCTATGCCGGATTGTCGGAAATGCCGGATTATCGAATTAGTATAGGAAATAAGACTTCATATTTAATATAGTAAGTTGAATTTATTATAAAAATAAAATTACATAAATTAATTAAAATATTAATTAATTATGTATTAAAATTACATATTAGGTTCATCATTTGTGACGTTTTCAGCCGCAGAAGAGGAAGACGACGCTTTGACCAAATAATTGTCAATTTTCACTTGCTTCTTGCCATAGTAAATTTTTTTAATTATCATTTCTCTTAACTTTCTCAAATTCAGTAAAATGTCGTTACTAGCGTTATTCTCCTCTGCCCAGCGAATACTGACATCTATTGATTTCAGGCCATCTTCAGCCTTCACTGAAGGGCTCGTGGGACTAAGCAAGGTCATTTCCAAATCATCTTGTTCAGAGCTAGAAACAGCATCATTTATTATTTCTTCATCGGTCATTGCAGGAAAAGAATCCGAGTTTTCCGCAAACCATTCCTCAACATCTTGTTCAGTCAACTCTGTCTGATTTTTTTGGAACAACATTTGCTTTAGTTCTGCAAGAGGTAATTCATCTTCTGATTCCCACTCTTCTTCTTCCTCAGGATTTTGGTTTAGTGAAGGCCATAATTTTTTCCAGGACGATTGAATCGCTTTTTGAGGCACCATGTTCCACGCTTCAGTTACGTTAAAGACCGCATCTTTAAGGTTCATGTCTTTCAGTGTTTTAGTGGCATCATCATCCCGAATAACAGCATTCAATAACAGTTTCTTCTTGTAGTTACATTTTATCATCTGAATTACATTTTGGTCCATAGGTTGAAGTAACGGTGTGCAATTAGGTGGCATAAAAAGTGTTTGAATCTTACCATCCCTAGATGATAACTCATCATTTGGTCCATGGGCAGGGGCATTATCCAACAACAGAACAGCTTTAGGTGGAAGATTCTTGCTTTTCAAAAATTTACGTACCGCAGGCACAAAATCATTGTGAAACCAGTCAACGAATAATTCTTTAGTTACCCATGCCTTGTTTTGATTTTTATACACAAGTGGAAGATTAACATTTTTGAAAGCTCTAGGATTCTTCGCTTTTCCAATAAACAGCAGTTTAAGTTTATGAGTGCCACTAGCATTTGCACAGGGCATAATAGTGACCCTGTCTTTTGACACTTTCCTGCCTGGAGCTTCTGACTCCTTTCTATAAACATAAGTTTTGTTAGGTAAAACTCTCCAAAACAGGCCGCTTTCGTCAGCGTTATAAACTTGGTCTGGTGTTAAACCAAGATCGTCAACTTTTTTCTTAAACTTCTCGACAAATGGAGCGACGGCTGATGTGTCACTGGATAATTTTTCGCCGGTTATAGTCAACAAACGTATTCCATATCTTGACTTGAAATTCTGGAACCACCCATCACTAGCTTTGAAGTTGGCATTCTTGTATATTTTTTCATAAAAAGTTAAAGCTTTTTGACGAATAATATCTCCAGTAAGAGGCGTATGACGAGCTCGTTCTTGAAGAAACCACGTATACAACGCGTCCTCCATAACAGGATACTCTCCAATCTTCACAGTCTGTCGTGAACTCGTCCCGGCGTCAGCAGTGTTGGCGAAGTTTTCAATCTTCTCACGATTCTTTTTTATATCATAAATTGTTGCACGGCCTACACCATATTCACCAGCCAACTTCATCTGATTTTCACCACTATCCAACTTTCGCAAAATTTCCATCTTTTTAACTAAACTCAATGTTTCGTGTTTACGTTTTTTGTCCGCCATTTTGTCAAAGCGACGCTGCGAGTTGTCAAAGCGACGCTGCGAGTAAAACAAACACGTGGCTTCACTATTGAGGTTAGGCCCGGACTGCCGAGCGAAAGAAACTACTCGAACAATTCAACCGCCGGCCGCGCCGCTCAGTAGTCCGGCGTTCAGCTGTGTAAAATGCCGGATTATAGAGCGGGCTGCCTGAGTCCCGAAGTGCCGGACTACTGAGCGTGCCGGATTGTCGAGCGCCGGATTATCGAGCGCCTACTGTACATGTTTCATGAAGTTTAGATATCATAGGTATTAAAGTTATAGGGTCGGTAATTATATATGTCAGATTTGTCTCCTTTTTTTAAATAAAGGCTTTTTAAAATAAAGATACTAAATTACTGGTGGTAAGAGATTCCAGAGTGAAAATTAAAAAAAAAACTAGTTTGGACATTTTCTAAATTTGGGAATCCGTCTCCACTTTGATCTCTATCGATATGATCGTATAGTAGGCGTGGCAGAATTTGTCTCCGTGCGAAATATTCAGAATTTTGTTCTTTAGCATCAGGATCATCTCGTGCCTCAATATATTGACCTGATAGATTCACCTGTTATTGTTGAAGAGCACGCGAAGTCGAGGAAGTACTAGGTTTAAGTGTTGCTGGCGTTCTTAATGTGTTCAAAGGTAGCTAGAAATATATTTTTATAATAATTATGACCACTTCTTTTATGTTAAACCAAAGTTTGAATTACTTATGTCATTATTACATTTTAGCAGTGAGCTTACCTGTGTAAAATAACTAAGCACTGTTGCTTTCTTCTTTGTGGCCTTTACCTTTAACTCTCGTAGAACCTCATTTATATTCTATAAAGTTTTTATTTTTTTAGTTTATCTTTAACCATCTTCCAAATTGCGTTGGCATTTTTTCTGAGTAATTCAATACGTTGAACGCCACGATAAAAGTCATCATTAGACTAATGAGCCGTTTGTCGGAACTAAGGCGCCGCGTCCGAGACCGTGAGTCCGCACAACTTCCATAACTTCAGAAGCCTCTAGACCACAGAACATATATACTTTAAGGGAAGAATAACGACTCCATACAAGTTTCGCGAGGAAATTTTACCTTACCGATGAACGCCATCTATGCCTTGCTCTCCATTACTAGGCAAAACAAACCAGGGCGGGAATTGTATATTATTGCTTAATATAATAAAATTAACTATACCATTTACTATATTTTTAACAAATTAATTTAAAAGTTACAAGTTTAATCCTTTCATAGCACTTTGAATTGATACTTTACCATTCACCATAGCTGATAAATATTGCAGTTTGTTTCTAGAGATTTTTAGAATGTAACCAATATTAAAAATGTTTTATTAATTCTGTCTAAACTTCAATCTGCCAAAATTCAGTGATGAGATGTTCCAGAAAAACAATTCAAAGTGATATGATAAGAATAAGATTTTTACTATATATTATACTTATTAAAAATGTTTCAATGCAAACGTTTTTTTGTACAAGGTCGCAGAAGAAGCAAAAATGGTATAATTTCAGGAATGAAGACAGATATATTAACAGTAGATTAGAAAAAATCTAGACTTGAGTCATGCATTTTCTTTGAAGAATAAGGTCAGCTTGTTTAGTTCTATTCAAATTGTTATTCTAGCTGTTACAAAATACTTATCGACCAGTGTTATTATTTATTTATGCCTAACTGTTCATTATTCTTTTAAGTGCAGTTTTACTAAACCCTTCAGCAAAAAATCTATTTTTCTTAATACATTGCCTTTTTATAATAGTGTGGAAGACACTATTTATAATATACATTTTGTTGTAATTTTTGTGCTCTACACAATCTTCCAGGAAGCCATAATTTATTGAGTCCTTTAATAACTGTATTCTTTTTTTTTAATATCCTCCTTATACGCCCCTTTTTCTAAAAATATATTTATTACTCTTGCACTTTTTTCTACGCAAGCTATTAAACTCTTTGAGGCGTATGTAAGTGATTTTTTTACATGATCGTAATTTTTGAACTCAGTGAAATTATGGACTTCTTCTGGTATTTCGGAGACAAACATTTTTTTACAATTTTATTGTTACAATTATTTTTATTTATTTTTTTAATAATAAAGCCAGATATATGTACAGGCCTGTACTTCGCCACTTCCTTCCTCCAAGTTCTCTACGAGAGAGGAAGTTATATTTTCATCAATATCCTTTTCCATATAACATTGCTCTGTTTCAGTGCATAGGTCTGGAGCTGGTTTCAGCAATGTTTTAAAATGTGTAATAATGGCATTGTTGCTATCTGCTTCGCAATTGCCTGAGCTTGTGTGTGCCATGTTGCTTATTACAGCTGTTTTTAAACCAGCAACAAATAGTGCGACTGTTGGATTTCTATTAAACACACAATTGTATCGTATGCATCCAAATACATTTTTGAGTGGATCCTGCTGGAGTCTTCGTGTAGACAGACTTTTGAGTGTCTTGTATATGTTCTCCATATCATTTCTATCCCATTGAGAGGGTCCAAATCCACCCTTCTTTTGATGGTGGATTACCCTTACAACCTAAAAATTCCAGTGTACCAAAAAAAAATTTCTGTTGATTTTTAAATATTTGTGGATAACTTTTACCCTCGTCTTAAATCAGGTGTAGACGCGTTTACACCGTCAAATAATTGGTCCATGTCAGATATTAAATTTGCTGTTGCTACAGCTTTAGCCGGCATGTCACCTGAAAATTAAATTCATTAAATAAAAAAAAAATCCATTTACTACAATTTATTACCCTATATAAAACCTACCTAAGTTCAAGGGTTGCATTGAAGGAAACTGAGATCAGGGACATATAATTATTAAGTCCAGTACTAAAGCAATGATTTAAAATCTGAAAGTTTAAACTCAAATTAGTGATGTAGATTATAAAAAAGAGTTAAATTAGTTACAAAGTAATAAGAAATGCATACCTCCTTAATCAAACCAAACAATCTGTCAGCTGTGACAAAGGCGCTTGATAAATAGTGAGCTACTAGTTGCTTTATTGGCTTCATAACCCCAACTGCCATAAATACTAAAGCATACGATGCTGCCTGTGAAGATCTGCCTTGGGTAGAAATCCCTCAATATGGTCCAGCTTAGAGTTGTACCACAAATTTCTCGACATTTCGACCCACAACAATATATATTCCTTGTCTGATGAGTCGAAGTGTTTTGTCATCTTTTTCAACACAGTAAGTGTGGTTTTGTGTACCCTCCCCAACTTTCATTTAAAAACCACTTAGAAGCGATTTTAACGTGCTAGGTGCTGGCAAACAAAGCATTCGCCTTAATAACTTATAGCAAGTTGGTGGACGTTTGTTTAGCATCAATGCTATTATTTTGGCTTCCATGTTCCACCTGTGGCCAGGTTTCTTCCTATTATAATTTTGTAGTTTTCACTGCAGCAATAATGCAAATGAAGAACTCATTTTCGTAGTGAGGATGTTTTCACAGTTTTTTATTGTATGTATAGGAGGTACTTTGTTCATACTACTTTTGAGTTTCTATCAGTGTTGCCACTCGGGTCATGTCAGAAGTTACCTGGAATATAAAAAAATGTAACCTTTTTGTATTAAATATAACCTTTTATATTTTTAAACCGGAAAGGTACATATTATAAGCTGATAGAATAGAATATTAGTTGTACTGATTTGTATTGGGGTTTCTTAATTTAATGATTCATCATTGAGGATGGATATGAAGTTAAACGAGTATCGAAATATCGCAAAAATACGGTTTTTCGAATGCGCGCGCAAGCGCGTCTAATATGCATTCTTGTACATTTTAAGTACTAAATATGGTTCAATTCAAGATTTCTATAATATGAAAATATGAAAATTTCGAATTGCCTGTATGTCTGACTGCACCACAAATATTTATTTTGAGTAATAACGGGTTATAGTGCAAAGTTAATTTATTAATTGGGTAGAACAATTGTGATTATGAGACTAAAATAATAATATGAAATTAAAAAGATGATTGAATAATGCATAAGCGAAGACAGCAGATCAGCCCCTGAAAATTTAAAATCAAATGTTTTTTCCGCGTTTTCAAATAAATCTTTCGAAAATATTTTCTAGGAAAAAAATATCGATTTGTGCAAAAATATGAAAAAGCAATAAGTACCGGCCTTCACCATCATCATCACCATCCTTGTTGCATTTTATTTTAGCATGCATTAATGCTTTTATAAAATGGCTGGCTCAAATTTTGTGGCATTTTTACAGCCGCTTTAGTAGCCATCAAAGCTGCAATTGTGTCCGTATTTAATCTGTTTCTCTGGCCATCAATTTAAGTTGGCTGTCTGTATACTTTGTTCATACTACTTTTGAGTTTCTTTCTATACCAACAGTTTGGTTTTTTGATCTCCTTTTTGTTTTGAAGATTCACACACAAACATTGCTGTAGAACTGGTAGGAGTAATAATGTTTAAATTATGTTCCCATGAAATTTTGGATAGACCAGAAACCGGTTCAATTATGGCAGGTTGTTCTGGCATATTAGAAAATGTTGTGTCCTGTAAATTAAAGGAAAACTTAATTTATTTAAATCTTATACTATTATATAAAGTTGAAGAGTTTGTTTCTTTGAATGCTCTTTCACTCTAATCGTTGACAAAGGAGGCTCTGGTGTTAATATAAAATGCTACCAGTTTATTAAAATAGGTTGAACTAAAACCGTAAAACTGAGAAAATAATTAGTCATAATATTTTCGTATATTAGTTTATTAAAATTGTGAGTGTTGAGCAATGATTTTAAGAATAATGGTAGTATCACAAAATAATGTAAATTTCTATGCCATGGGATCAGATGGCCTGTTTCATTGTATTCACAGCATATACCTATCAGATGGCACTATGCAGCGCTTTCTTGCCCGGCGATTGGGAAACCGAATAATCGTCGCATTATCACTGGAATGACTCTCCGTCCCACGAAATTGGGATTTAATATCGAGGGGTAACGGGCTATTTGGTTTAAGC